TCTGTACCAATGGACAACAGTGTGGATTGTGATCTAACTGGTTAACTGTTTCCAAAATGATCATAATGGGTAAAAAAGGGCTTCTCAAATAAAAATAAGACTGGGAACAAAACAGACCGATTTTAGATAGAATAAAAGATTCTGCAGTAGATGCCAAGATCTCCTTACATTCCTTTCCACATCAGGCTCAAATCCTTTGAATCCTAGATTTCCATTGTGAAACTCATTGGTGTCCTTTGTTGACCTCTTCAGGTCTGGCAAACGGTCATATCTTCCAAAGTTCAGGCAAAATTTGTTTGCAGGCTCCATCCCTCAACAAAGATTAGTCAAATGGTGTGACTTTATTGGTTTCCTAAGCCCTGACAAGTTGCCCAACTGTTGATTACTCAATGTCATTCAGTTGTAATAAAATGGAAAATATAAATTTAGTATAACTAATAAATCAACATTGACAATTAAATATGGTGCATGCTCCCCTAAAAAGGTATGCTAAAATGTCCTCTTATTACATAACCTTAATCACATTATGTCATAGTTGTATAGATTAAAAGCTTGTTTAAGGTTCTTCCCAACTACCATGACATGTATTTTCTTAAAATTCAATTACACGTCCCAAAAAAATCACATTATAGGACATTTATTTAGACCACTATTAAGTATAATGCTTCCTTTTGTCAGTTACCAATTATTGTGCACTGCTTCATGGCAATGCTGCCATCCAGTGATCACAAGGTGAACACACATGAAGAATAAGGTTTATTGACCATGAGAATAACATGTTTGGGTTAATGTGTAGATACAAAGCTTCTTTGATTGTATAATTTTGCTTGTAGAATAATACTGCAGTAATTCTTGTTAGAATGTAGTCACTTGTAGCTTCGGATATTTGAATATTTTAATTTAAGGTACCAAACATGACTTGAAATACTGCAACCTGCAATGAAAAACAAAAAAAAATAAACTTTAATTCTACATGTGCACAAATACCAATAGGTAAAATAGGGCTAAATTTGAACTATATTATAACATGCAGAAGTTGCTCTTCAAGGAGAGGGTTTAGAGCCAAAAGAGTGGTTCATTTTGGAAGAAACTCCTTTCTTCCTCTAAAAATAAAGTCCTGAATACTCTACAACTGGAATTGCTACAATGCCAACGTAAACTCTGGAGGATTCTTAAACATAGTCCTCTTAGTCTTCGTAACATTTAAACTTAGCATTCCTATTGGTGGTGAAATGTGACAGCTTGAAGAAGACTAAACTAATCAAAAAGGCACTTGATCTCCGTCTTTTTTACTCTTCTGGGTCTGATATGAGAGTAATCCTTCTCAGTCTCTGATCAGATGTGTTTCCCTAACAATGGTCTGTTCTTCATAGCAACAGACTCTTACAGAAAGGGCATTTATAGCCATAAAAGACCAGTCAAAATCAACTACCGTGTGAAATTATCCTTTTAAAACAGCACTATAGCTAGAGCGCGAGGTCAGAGGTGTGCCAGCTGTCTGAATTCAATGAATGGTTAGAACAAATATAAAGTGGAATTGTGACAACATTTCATACGCACAACACATTTTTTGAGGACCACTCAGCCTGTGCCAGTAAATTCCCTGTTATCGGCAAATCCAAAGTATTTATAGCTTTTCCCTAAAACCATACTGAAGATGAAGTGAAAAGCCATCAGTCATAGAAAGCGGGAATGACACAAGGGTGTAGAATTTGGCAGGGGCAGAAGAGACATGTCCCTGCCAATATCGAGTATACAACAGACTTATCACTAAAAATCATTTGTGAACATAAAAAAAAAAATGGTGTGCACTTTTTCCTTTACACTTTCAACCTTTGGAGGATTATTTCCCATTAGCTGCCATTGTGTCACTTTTAACAAGCACTGCAGACTGCAGTGTAATACACTTCAATGATATATGAGTTGTATAGTTAAGCGTCTGGCTGTATTTTTTGTTCAGTTTTCTATTTTTCTCTCCTACTCTCTCTCTCTCTCTCTCTCTCTCTCTCTCTCTCTCTCTCTCTCTCTCTCTCCGAGTTAAGGACAAAAATAACAGAGCAATATTCAGCACTACGGTTGAGAGACAACCTATGATAAACTGAACAGCCTTCATGGGTAAGAGCAATAGAAGACCGGCCACATGTAGCATCACATTAGACAATATGTATTGATAAATTACAGTTCAAAATTCAGAAAAAGAAGCAAGACAGAAAAGGGTTAATGTATTACAGACAGGATTCCAATGGTCATAGAAACAGCTTAGCAAACTAAAAAAAAAGTGTTTTCCAGGCTTGGGGAGAAATGAATAGTTGGAAGAAATGAATGATGGTTGTGAAATCCTGGATTAGAAAAGGTGTTTAGTCCAAATGGTTTAGGCTCTTTTTGAGACTTGTGAGTTCTGTCTACAACAGCAAAATGTGTTTATCGTGTTCAGTCTGACAACAAACAGTGATGAAACAGTAGTTACTTAACTGTATTTATTTGTTAGGTAATTCACAATTCTTTTCTTTAGGGTTTCTCCTGAACTACTACAGAAGGCAGCGTAGTCGAAGTGAGTCATGCAGTTAACATTTCTCTGTCATCTGATTTGTGTTTCGTGTACTTACAGTACTAATAGTACAATTGCTATGATCTGTATTTAAATTGGAAACACTTTTTGGTTTTTAGTAAAATGAATACATTTTGTGGTATTATAGATATTTTCAACATGAATTGGTGCCACTACAGCTGTGACTACAGATTTCCTTTGTTCCTTCCTTGCATGTGCGTGTGTGTTTGTGTTATTTGGGCGTGGTTTTCCCTAAACTGGCTCCTGATTCATCTCTAAACCAGTGTCTGCTAATCTCATCACAATGCAGTTCTTCATCCAATCATTGCCGGATTGTTGGGCCTGTTTCAGTGGCAGTCATTCACTTAGCCACTCAGTGTAGTCTAAATATTCTTGTTCTTTCCTTATGCTACCTCATTTACTATTGTCCCCAGTACACAATAGTACCTTAAAATGACCATGTCCAGTACTTCCCACACACTCCTTTAGCCTACATCACCCACAAACTGCAAGCCAGCATTTCCCCTCTCCAGCCAGCATGGTCCACCATTTAACTCAACCAAATTGGCAACCATCCCCAACACTACTTCTCCTAAAAAGCTGATAAAAACCACCATAATCTTCTATTTTCTGTCTCCGAGTCTGCTTTCAAACCAGTTCAAACTGTAGCCTTAATAATTGGTGCATACTAATTTACAAGAATACAGGAGATTGTTTTTCATGCTTAAGATATCATAAGGATAATCCCAAGAACCTTGGTATTATATGGGCCCCCCCAATGCTAACTTCAGGTAATTATTAAACACACTATTATGTTATTTGACCAGACAACTACTTAGAATAGCCTTAAAAAAAAACAGAGAAGATGTTCTGCTCAAAGTATCTTTCAGATATCTAAGTCCCACACAATGTAAACCAATGATTAAACACATTTAGAACACAACACATATAAAAGGAAACTGTCCTACTATAGTTATAGTACAAACATCAACTTTCTACTAATGTTTGTACTCCACAAGTGGCTTCTTTTTAGCTCCGGGACATCAACCAACCTTTGTCCTTAGATTAACATTACAGCGTTAACCCCCCGTGGTGGTCTGGAATCACTATGTTAATCGCTCTTAACTGTCAAAGCTAATTAATTAAAGCACTTGTCTTTAAAGACTATCAAGCAGACACAATACCCTACGGTTTTGCCTTGTCCTACAGTTTCAATTCACAATTTTAAGGTTTTGTAATATATGATGTATCTTCCTTGGTACTACCCTAAACTTCCCAAGGAACCTTAGGGAACCTTAGTTGAAGATAATGCTCTTAAAAAGGGTTGATCTTGGTGTGCACTGTAACAAAGGTCATGGGGCATGGAGTCGCGTCCTCTATTCTTAGTTTACTGACAGAATAACAAAGATGCAGATTGAAGTAAATAAGGTAAAGAAGCAACACAGGTGAAAATTGAGCAAAGGCAAATGGGCGATGCTATTACATGCAAATGTATGCTATTCAAATGTTTTCTTGGTGATCACAGCTATCACGAACTGAATTTGTCTGTAGACTTGAAGCTCTCACAACATTGCTATATAGCTCCTCTGAAACTGCACGTGACAAACTGAGGTAAAAACTTTGAGAAAGTAACCTTTGTACTGCTTTAGGGTGTTAAGTCTATTCTTCTGGACAAATCCATTTAGGAAAGGTTCTTTGTGAAAACTATTTTAATCTTTATATCAGCTGTTTAGCAAGCAGAATACTTATTCAGGAATATGATGCTTATGTTTACCCATGAAAACTCAATGTTAGACATTGTCAGTTTGAAAAGTGTCTCAAAAGAAGGAGAAGCAGCAGGGTGCAACCAAAAGCACCTTTAACGTCTGGACATTTTCCAATTAGGCTGTGGCTCGCCAGCAGATCAAAGCTAGGATAATCCTTGGGCTGGATGACGTGTCCACAAGAGTTTTCATACAAATAAAGGAGTGACAACCAATAGGGTATCAGGTTGACAAATGAATGTGTCACTGCGTGTTATACGGAGGAAAGACAAGGGTGTATAGGGAAAGAAAGAGATGAAGGAATGGGGAAGATATGGAAGAGATACAGAATGAACTGAGCGTGTACTGGAGAGGGAAAGGGAGGAGGGGAGGTTTGCAGTTGGTGCACTGGTATGTGACGTCAGCGGCTTGTTGGATGAGGTGCTGTGTCCTGCTGATTTTAATCCTTACTCATTAAGGAACAGAGAGAGCAAGTGCCTGTGCAAGCCCTCTGGGGAAGGAGAGAAAGTGACAGGAGAAGGAAGGAACACAGAGCAATCTACCAAAGGAGATAAGTGGAGCTACTTTACAAGGTGGGAAACGGAACAGGGGAAAAAAATCAAGCATTTCATTTTTGCTTTTCAGCTTTAAGCGTGCATTCCCTCATTACCCTTTCCCTTGTTTGTAATCCTTAAGAGTGGCCTGTTCAAGCATGCCCACAAACGGAATTAACAAGGCCCTCAAGCTGCAGTTTGGTCTCATCAACTATGAGAACCGATACCTCACAGCTGAGGCCTTTGGCTTCAAGGTGAACGCCTCAGGCATCAGCATGAAGAAGAAACAGATCTGGACCTTAGAGCAGGACGAGCAAGATGGGCAGGTAGTGTTCCTCCGAAGCCACCTGGGACGGTATCTGGCCTCTGACAAAGATGGGAAGATGACCTGTGGGGCAGAGAAGCCTGACCCTGACTGCCGTTTCCTTATTGTGCCCCAGTCTGATGGTCGCTGGGCTTTGCAATCAGAGCCTTACCTGCGTTACTTTGGAGGCTCTGCTGACTATCTGTCCTGCTTTGCTCAAGCTATTGGGGAACAAGAGTTATGGGCTGTCCATTTGGCCTTGCATCCTCAGGCCAGCCTGCTCAGTGTGGCACGTAAGCGCTATGCCCATTTATCTGCTTCAGATGGAGAGATCTCAGTGGACAGCAACATTCCCTGGGGAGTGGACTCCCTGGTAACCTTGGTATACCTGGATGGCAAGTACAGCCTGAAGACCTGTGATAGTCGTTTCCTCAGAAATGATGGCAAACTGGTGAAAGAGAACACCAATACAACTAGCTTCACACTGGAGCTGAAGTCTGGAAAGCTGGCCTTTAAGGACTGTGATGGGAAATATCTGAGCCCTTTGGGTCCTACTGGAACTCTGCGATCTGGCCGATGCTCCAAGCCTGGAAAAGACGAGCTTTTTGATCTGGAGGAGAGTCATCCCCAAGTTGTTTTTCAAGCTGCCAATAAAAGATTTGTCTCGGTCAAGCAAGGTAATTAAGACTTGAATGCAGTCCTAAGAGAAAAAAAATCTACGTTTAATTACATCACTAACTAATTAAATTATATCAAGCAATAGTTTGATGCAAACTACCTTTTTTTAAATTATGTTTTGTCATGATGATCACAATGTGGTATTTAGTATTGAGGAACATTGAAACAGAATTTACAGAATATCTGAAAATCATACTGTAGCCTCTCTGAATGAAGATATTTGATTGTTTTTTAAATGCATGGTTTAACGTACAATCAAAAGGTACTCAAGGTGCAAGAGTAGACATGGTAACAAATGGGCATGAAAATTATATAATGAACATGTAAGCTAAGTGCAGCTAGGATAACATCCAGGGGTTCCACGCTGACCTTCTCATGTTTTGCAAAAGCAAAGTGTAAGAAGGTGGGAGTTTTACTATTCTCAGACCTTTTCGAGGCTGATTTCACTATATATTTGCAAATATAAACAATATTAGAAAACGGAACCAAGATGGCCTTGCTGATTGGTAGAAATGTATTTGTCAGGGCAGCTAGATTAGCGTATGTCTTATACCTTCAAGGCATAGCCTACATTCATTACATGGATTATTATATTTATCTTATCATTATCTTAAAACCCTAAAGAAAAGAATTGTGAATTACCTAACAAATAAATACAGTTAAGTAACTACTGTTTCATCACTGTTTGTTGTCAGACTGAACACGATAAACACATTTTGCTGTTGTAGACAGAACTCACAAGTCTCAAAAAGAGCCTAAACCATTTGGACTAAACACCTTTTCTAATCCAGGATTTCACAACCATCATCATTATCTTATCAAGATGATAACATTTATTAGCTGGCAGAGGATACTGCCTTTTCTGGCTGTAGGATCCATAATGGTTAACAGACACACTGTGGCTAATTATGGTAATGGGCTTTGTCATTTCCACTGTGTGTCCATTGAAGATTAAGTGGAGTGCAAATGATTCCATTGCAGACCTGTGCCCCTTTGGTGTCCATACCCATCAGAGTACTTCAGGCCTGACAGCTACTTGTTGTTCAATGTAATCTAGTTTTTCACATGATTTCTACCAATGTCGCATTAGGTTGACAGCAAGAAATAGAGCAATGCCCTACTAGATGGATCAGTTACAAGGATTCTTTTTAGTCTGCATGGGATCTTGTTTTCTCTATATCATTTTTCAGACACTGTTGTAAAACAGAGGGATACGATTAGGATGATTTTAACACATTTTTAAAGCTTAAGAAAGCTGAGAAATCAGGTTCTCAAAATCACTTACGATTGCACTCAAGTTTATGCATTAATACAAATTTAAATAAATAAAGGTCAGTATCAGGGCAATATTTTAACAACTTTACATTATATCCTAAAAACGTATGGCAGGGATTCCATTTTCAATTGTTTTACTCTTCCTTGTGGCAGTTACACGTTTTTCAAGGAACAAGGTATTGAAAGCTGCTTAGTGGGCCCTGCAGTGCAGATTTGCATTTCACCACTCAGGGAATTACAGCAAGCGAATGAACAGGAAGGGTGGAGTGGTGGCTGTTGGGGATTAGGGTTGTAACAGGCTTAAGAGAAAGGTTGGAGGATATTTTTGTGGCATCTAATTTGAACAACAGCAGACACAGTTCAGCTGTGTCTGTGTATTCTCCACCACCTTACACAAACTCTCAAGACAGAATGCATGTGGATTAAGTGTGACTTTGGATTGGCTGAAACTAAGGCAATCAGGTTCAGAGAAGAGGGCACCAACTTAATAACTGGAAAGATACTCAGACAAAATGAAGGCAACATTTCAGAACTATTCTGTATTAAATTCACCTCTAAAATTATATATGAAAAAGATCATGACTTGAGTGCATGAAAATTGTTTTAAAAAAAAAAAGCTTCAAAATGCAAGGCATGTGAAAATCTAAAGCTGGTAGACAACAAAAAAGCGTATTCAGTATTTACATGACTCCAAATAATTTTTTGGGAATCAAACACTCAACCCAAGTTCGCTCTAAATGTACAACAGACTTCATGTTTTCGTAGTAGAAACCACCAAACAAACAATCAATTCATTTTGAGAGATAAAGAGTTAAATAAAAGAGTTAGAAAATGTGGCAATCTTAAAATGCGTTTGATTTCAAGTTGCTTAAGCTATAGCATGAAATTATAAAACCCAGTAAAGCTTGATTCAAACCGATCAATCACCCAAATAACTCAGCAAATACATTTAATTATTGATGGACATCGTAATGTTTTAGGTGTAATAATTGTAATTATTATGTTCATAGCACCTTGACCTTTTTGTGAATATGCACATAAGATACTGTGAAACCTCACAACAACTTCCTCTTCTATGAGGAAAATACATCCTGGATGAGTCATTGTAGGTAGCATACTGCATTATGTGTTGCAACTACAGAAAGGGCTTGATGCAATTACAATTTGGGATTAGTATTATTCTCACAAGTCACTTTGGCAGTTCCTGAGAGAGGAAATGGCATTCAAGAGGAGGCAAATGGCTTTCACGAGGATGCAACATCATAAGCCACAATTTCTACCCAACAGCAGCACAATAATCAAATATTTTCTTCTCTTGTATTCAGGAGTGAGTATTTCAGCCAATCAGGATGTCGAGACAGACATGGAGACCTTTCAGATGGAGATTCACAAGGACACTAAAAAGCCTATGTTCAGGACAAATGGTGGATCCTACTGGACTCTTGTGTCTCACGGAGAGATCCAGTCCACTGCAACAGAAGTGTGAGTAGCTTTCCCGGTTCTAAAAGAGAAACTTTCTTCCATGTTGGCACATAATTCTTACCTGAATTGGCACGTCTTTTCCCAGAGAGGTCAACACAATGTTTGACATTGAGTGGCGAGGAAAGAGGGTGGCCCTCAAAGCAAGTAATGGAAAGTATGTTTGCACAAAGAAGAATGGGCAGCTCTCAGCAGTCAGCGATGCAGTTGGTAAGTGCATTCAGGCAACCTTGAAAGGTTGGAAGATACCCCCACAGGTACACGTCCAATGCACATATCATAATCAGTATTTGTCCTTAATTGCAGGTGATGGGGAATTATTCCTGATGAAACTCATCAATCGTCCTATGCTGATCCTTCATGGAGAGAATGGCTTTGTGTGTCACCACAAGAGCTCCAACACTCTGGATGCAAATCGATCAGTCTATGACATTTTCTCATTGATCTTCAATGACGGCGCCTACTATGTAAAAAGTCAGTGTTACGTCCAACTTCTGCAAACAATTTATATATCCTGTTTGAGTTTATTTATTTGGCATCTACTGAAGCAAAAGTGATTTCTTTAAACAGATATCTAAAATATGATCCACTGTTATCAACTTGCAGGTGTGAATGGCATGTTCTGGTACGTCTCTAGCAGTGGCCTCGTGTGCTCAGATGGAGAGAAGCCTGAGGACTTTTTCCTTGAGTTCCTGGAACATGGATGCGTCGCTATTAAGGGCTCTAATGGCAAGTACCTTCGAGGAGATAAGGGAGGTACACTCATGGGGGATGCAACAACTGTTGATAGATCTTGTCTCTGGGAGTACTGATCACTTTCAGCCAGGGTCCTCAAAGAGCAAGCCAGAAGATGGGGTGTAGGACCTGCTTCTATCAACTCAAATGAAGTGAACTAACCAAGTTACATTTTTCCTGCCTGCTTTTATACTAGCTACCCAGTGCCCAATAACACATTTAGTTTTATTTCAAATTGGAAAGTGCTGGACGCATTAGGAAGATGTGTTGATTTTTTAAGTGTTGAATGTTTGTCTTTCCAATTACATTGCCAACATCAACCATATTGTGTGAAATCCTGTAATTTCAAAAATACAGAATGAGACAGTGGATTTTTATTGTGATCAAAATAAGTTTATGACGACCAAATATCTTTGAGAGCTACCATACTGATCAGTCCCTGAACATGGAGAAATTTTAAATGAGAATCGCTGCCTTGGACACATTCTGTGTCCCCCAGTGTGGTCTGTTCAAAAAGCTTGGCAATGAATGGGAACAAAAGGAATGTTAAGTCCTTCTTTTGCTACTAAATCCCACTGGGTAAACAGACAAAATATCCCAAAGCTGAAACAGCCTTTGCAAATGTTTCTGTCAAAACAGCATTCACACGCTCCTACTATAAAATCAATGAAAACAGCATAGACAATAAAAGGTCAGTGTGGTGGGAGATACTTTAATTTGCTTTTAGTTAAGATGATTGATCATCTTAATCTTGCTTCTGTAACCACAGTCAAGAATCCAACCATTTTTGTTTACCGTTTTAACCATTTAATACATATCAGGTTCTTTAAGAACAGTCATTAATGGGACCCAAATTACAAAGGTAATGCACCGATGTCTTCAAAGACAGCTAATGGCTAGTGCCAATGGTGTTTTCATTTCTCTTTATGAACCATTTACAGCATCCATGAATGCACTTAATGAAGCAAATGAAGTAGACTGGAACAAATCCGTAACTCTGCACTGCTGATCAATGTACGGTATATCCACAGAGGGCTTCATTTAGCATCACTCCAAACACTGAGATACTTAAAAAAATGTACTGCATTTATCATTACAGAGATAAGACATGTAAAGGAAAAAAAAGAATACCAGTAGAAATGTAATATACCCATTACAGGGACAAGCAATGAAACCAGAGGGGGGAGGACATTAAAGGGTTGATGAAGTACACATCATTCTTTTATGTACCAGGTATAAACGTGTTCTTAAAGTGCTTCTCTGGTGTTCTGCCTAGGGGCCTTAAACCATACTGCACTCTGTATCCCTTAATGCCCTGTTCTCGTGTTCAGAGTTGGGTGGTAAGATTAGAAAATATAAATACGGTAATTAAAAAAACACATTTCCTTTTTTTATTGCTAAGATTACTTATACGTAATATGTAAAAGTGGAATAAGAAAAGTTGTTAGGACTTAACACCTGTTGTATCCTATGAAGAAATAGGAACACTGCTTGTGTGCTCAGTAGCCTCTAGTATACCTCTAGCCAGCTCAGCTCTGTTGAGGTGGGACATTTTTTTGTATTTTGATTCAATCTCTTATTAAAATCAATGAGGGCACAAGCTGAACCTGTATACAATTTATCCTCTAGATTTTTGTCAGTTTTTTCCTGTGAAGAATTTAAGTCTGCAATAGTTCATGTAATGTCAAATCCAATGATTTTGTGATATACGCTAATTGCAATAGTGGAGAAACATTTTAGAAAGTCCTGAACTGTTTGGTCAACCATGCATCCTGTACCTGCTCTGTAGACAGCCTCCAGTCATAATTTAGGATTTGTTATATATTAATATATATATATATAGGCTGTAAGTTGTTATACTATCTATGTTTTCTTGTAACATTTTTGAACATATTGATGACAATAAAGACTTGACAATAACTTTGTTTTCTGGTACTAACACTTTATGCAAAGCTATGAAAATATTAAACAAATTTGGGATTAAAAACAGAGATAGAAGAGGAGGTTTGCCAGGGATTGTAGGGTTAGTGCTAGAGTCCCAAGTATCTTGGCCATGCCACTTAAATAGTAAAACTTGAACCAAGCCCAGTGTCACTTGACATGTAAACAGGTCCAATATCAGGTTACACTGGACCTTAAACCATGAGAAACTAAAACCTTTGCACAAGACAGAGTTATAATATTATTTCCAGAAGTCAGTATTTTCCACCATATCAAATGTGTAACTAAGAATTTTAAACGAAATCAATTCAAGTTATTATTTCCTTTAACTGATATTTACAGTTTAGTTGTCTCAGACATGCAACAGAGTTCAGACTGCAGGCAAATCTTATTTGTTTGTTCAAATCAGATTTTGAAGACAGATGTGTGTCCAAACAAACAACATTGTTGTTGTGCGACAAGTTGCAAGTTATTCAAAAACAACCAAAATCTAATTTGAGTGGCCAGAGCTTCTGGACTGAACATATTTGTAGAGATGCAAAGTTATTTGCATATCAACGCTCCTTTAAATGGTTTGTAAAAAACGTATGTCCTGTGTTTTTTTCTACAGCCCAGGCTACTATTGTTTAACCAACCATACAGTAGGTACATTTCTATGAACCTGTCGTTAAGGCCAATTTCATAATGCACCGGAGATAACCTTGGAAATTTGACAAAGGATTATTCACATGCCTGACATGCAAAAACCAGAGTTGCTGTAGAATTTAAAAAAAGGATGACTAGACAGTGAAGACATTCCATCTCTGATTTAAGACCTTTCGCAATAAGAATAATCTACATCAGAAAAATCCAGATATTTTTCAGACCTTAATTTAAAAAAAGAGACTTTTTAAGAAACTACAGGAACCATGTTAAACTACGATGCAACAAAGAGCAATGAAGAAAGACTAACTAAAGAACATATCATGATGTACATTTAAAAATGAATTACAGAATCAAATTATGGATGTATTTGTTAATTTGAATGGGCAATTTCTGAACGCAGAGGTCAAATAGTTACAAGGCATTGTTGTAAATAAATTACTTTAAATCCATCTGTTAACATGTTAGTTACTGTGTTGCCAAGTATATTTCAGATTGTCGTCAGTCCTTGGAAAAATCACAATTATCCATTGCAGAAGTTAAGTCAACACTCCTATACGTTTCCCTTACCCTATATTTTATCTCATACATATAATGTCTTGGAAATTGCTAAACAAGTGCCACACTTTTCCATACAGCAACAGAGGAACCTTGGTGCCCTGAAACAAATATAACTGGCATATTCCCATCACATTCTTCACTGCTTGAGCTTTGACTGGCACTCGTACGTCATCTTGCTGCACCCTCCTGGTTTAATGGCACCCGACTGGAGAATTAGTGACACGAGGTGTTTGTCTCAATGTGCTGTATTTGCACAATGGTAGTGGATAAATGCATTGTTTTGTTAAGCCTTTATCCTGTTTCCTGGAAATGGCTTGTGCTGGTCTAAAGGGTGACAGTAATTCACTCAATAAGGACCTTGAGACATAAGCAGCTGAAGCCATTATTATTAGGACATTATTATCATAATTATTATTACATGTTATTTTCCTTCTGAGTGAAAAAACAGCCCTAATGTAATAAGATGTCACACTGTACAATTTTCAACAGAGTAGGAAATGCAATTCTATTAATAACTGGTATAGCTGCATTTTATCTAGGAGTAGCAGGGGCCCATTATTGACCATGTTGGCTGAAAGGGGGGCATAATAACATCTGATGTAACATTAATCATTACTTACAAATCTAACTTAAATGTAGAGGGTAGCTGCTTGAGTGAAACACAATTTCTAAGAAAAAAATAGTCCTGATTATATGGCCAATAGTCAAGGTTAGATATGTATTAATTTGGTGAAACGATTTTAAGATTTTTTCCCAAATGCTATTTGGCTGGTGAATTTTATTTTACCAACCAGAAAAAAAGTCTCACCGTATCAGCGTTCATCTACAAATAAAAAGCAGCTGACTATAAACAGTGTTGGTGTAACTTCAAATATTTCCCCCTTTACAACACTGGGTGGCACTGTGTACCTTTTTAAATTCAGTGTTTGTTACACCAATTCTTAGTGACAATGGCTGTGAAAGAAGCATATCCTCCTGCAAGGATGACAAATACAAACACCTGGAAGTAATCTGGCACACAGCAGCTAACCTCCTGACACCTGTTCAGGCCTTCAAGAACAACCACTCTGAGTTATGATAACCAGAAGTGACAGATGTCACAAAATGCCATCAAGTTAACAAGACATTTTTACAGTACAGAAGGTCTTTAAGTTCCATCCCCTTCTCAAACATGTTTTTATAGTATCACTAACTGTGCAACAACAATGTACGGAATCTTTTCTTTTACAGAATTTCATCAATTTCTCTTGATAACCCACAGGCACACACATGCAGACACTCAACTCCTCACGAGCCTCTTCTGAACCGATTTTTTTTCATGTTGAATTCTGCAATCACTCTGGCAAAGGTTTTCTTTGAGAATCACAGCCCACAAATCCCTTGCTCACTAGCCCAGATAATTACACACTACTCACCGAAGTGGAGATGTTAACAGATTAATTTGCCTAGCCTGACATTGACTGTGTTGTTGGCGAGGCATATTAACCATGGCGATGTCTATCATAAAGAAGAGGGCACAGGGTGTGCAAAATTTCAGTAGAAAAGAAGTTGGACTATGAAGCTTAAAAAAAATGTTTTCTTTTAAATGTGACCAACCTCTCTGACCTCAGCCTCTTCTTCTAGCTGTGTAGCTGGGGAGTTCTGCTAAGAATGGACAGCTACGGATCAATACAAATTACTGGCATTGTTTTGGTTCTCAGTGAGTTGTACTGCAAGGCTGCTGATAGCCAGAGCTGTTCTGGACAAAACAAGACATACTAAGTAGTTTTTTCTAGGTTTTCAGACAAATGTCAAAAATGCAACGGAAAAGTACAACATTAGAGATAAATCCAATTCTGATTTCGTTTGGATTATAGAAAAGTGCTTGTTTTTATGGGCTGGACACTCCAATTTAAATTTAGTTCAGCCAACTCCTTGACTCAACCACAACCTTTCCAGTAAAACACACACAACAAAAACATATAATATAGAAAGGCTGACTTAGCATTGCTCTCCTACACAGCAGCATTGCGGGACTCAAACTGGCATTAAATCATCCAAGTTTGATTCAATAGAACCAGAATTACTGTATTTTTAATTCCATGCATTTGTCTTCCTCGCCTACACCTTGCACCGTCATTACCCACATTTCAGCTCAACCACCTCAGTTGTTGGTGAGTTTCTGCTTTATTATGTTATAACAGCCAGCCTATTAACAGCAGCTATAGCCTCATGCAGAGATGTACCTGAGGGCAGAACACAATGTAAACATTTTTAAAAGCAAATTCAAGACCTACCTTTTTAGTAGAGCTTTTAACTGAATCTCATTTCATCTAGTTTTTATAACATTTTTAACCTCCTGTGTTTCCCCATTTAGATTGAATGATAGCGTTTCCTCAGTACCTGTTCTTATCTAGTTATTTTACCTTAGTTTTTGGATTGTGGGATAGGGGTGGGGGAGGGAGTTATGTTGTTGTTGTTTGATTTATGTTGATGTAAAGCACTTTGTGATACATTTATTGTATGTAAAGTGCTATACAAATAAAGTTTGATTGATTGATTGACGTACGGTCAGCAACAAAGGTGAGATAAACTCACTTCTTTCCTTATCCACCACCCCCAGACTTTTTTTTCCAGTTTCATATCGCACAAATTACATCACTTTGCACAGTTTTGGATTTGATGCAGCTACCTTCATGGCAACAAAAGTCTGTAGTCTTAAATGTTGGGTATGTCCTTGATATCTAGAACAAAGAGATTACCAGTGGTTGTAATCCACTTAGTATATTTACTCAACACCTTAATACAATTTGAATGTAGTTGTACTTAACTTTAGTATCCTACTATCCTCCTATTAAAGCTCATGTGAGAAGATTTTAACTGGTTATAAAACAGACCAAAACTAATTCTGTTGTTTCTATGTGACCTACAAAAGCAAACGAGACCATCATAGATAGTATTGATATATATTTATATATATATATATATATCTTTTTTTTCTATACAATTAATTAATACAATGCTGCCCTAGGGTGACAGGTGAAGCCATTAACATTATCCCAGCACGATCCCAGCTGTCACTGGGCAAGAGGCGAGGTACATACACCCTGGACTGGTCGCCAGTCACTCACAAGGACACAAGGTGGACAAATAGAAACTAGAAATTATCAGTCACAGTCACATTCACACCTATAGGCAATGTAAAGTTACCACTGAACCTAACGAGCCTGTTTTTGGACTGTGGGAGGAAGTCGGAATACCTGGAGGAAGCCCACGCATGCACAGAAAGAACAGGCAAACTCCAAAAAGAAAGGCCCTGTCTGACAAAGATTCAAATAAATTTGACAACTATAAACCCAGATCAGCTATAACATTATGACAACCTGCTTAATGCTGTGAGGTGTGAGGTGGGGCCTCCATGGATCAGACTTAGTTGTCTAGTACATCCCAAAAGGGGAAATTTGGAGGTCAAGTCAGTACCTTTAACTAGTAGTCATGGTCTCAAAGGCCACCTTTCATCTGTTGCATCATGGTCCAGTTCTGATGCCCCCATGCCCACTGTAGAGACGATAAACAGGAGTCAGCATGGGAACCCTGACCAGTCTGTGGCCACACAGCCCTATGCGTAACAAACTGTGATGAACTGTGTTCTGACACATTTCTATTACAACCGGCATTATTTTTCATCAGTTGGCTCTTCTGTTTGTT